CGACTGGCGCGGGATGACGGTCTCGGAGGAGCCGGTGAAGACAACCCGGAGGGGCGGCGGGGTGCCAGAGGGGTAGAGGAGCCGAAAAGAAAGGTATTTCCATGCTGTCGGGTAAGAGCAGAGGAATGAGCGGAGGTAGCGGGAGGTATGATAGAGGGCTAGGATGGCCTCGGTGGGAGTCTGCAAAAGGAGAGATTCGAGGATGGGGGCATTGGTAGTGACGACGAGTTCAAAGGTGGATAGCGGATGTTGGGCCGGAAGGACGGAGTGTTCGAGCGCGGAATCCACCAGGTGTTGCTGCTGTTGGTCTCCGCTGGGCTTGCCGGCCATGGCTGTAGTAGTAGTGATAGTAGTAGACTCAGGGCCCGATCGATGATCGATAGCGGGCACTCCCGGATTATGAGATACGGATGGCATGACGATCGGAATCGGATGGCGGGACCCTTTGCTTCTTCAACAACCTTTTTCTTTTGATTTCACTCCCCTGGAAGGAAGCTGGAGGTTAGAGTGACGCGAGATCGCGAACACAGCGGAGAATGCGGGAGAGGGCCGCACATCATAAGGGAAGCAGGAAGGCGAGCATGCGCAAGGAGGGTGGATTACACCCAAATGTTGGACATGAGCAGTGGCCATCCACGGGAAGGAGAGGAATAGAATGAAATGGAGGGAGAGAGAGAGGGTCGGGGAGGGAAGAGGAGGGAGAACAAGTTACAGCAAACCGATTGGGGGTGGCTTGGACAACTCAGCTCAGAATTGGCGATGGGCAACAAAAATCCAACGGGCGGCCGGCAATCATGTGATAGGTCGCCTTGGCCCCGTTGGGATGCCACTCTTTTTGGTTATTGTTGCTTTGCTTGCTGATTGATGATGATGATGATGTTGATGATGAGTTTAGACTAATTCCTATGACGATATATGTTGGGTCACCGGAGTCTGTGGCCTGACGGGTCTCAACTTCACTAGTGATTCGTCCCCAGTGTATTTTATTGAATATTGAATTCATCCCTCTTGATTTCTTTCCACTATCTGCTGCTAGCTGCGTGGTGTTGTTCTCTCCCCCCCGACGATCCAATCGACCACCACAACCACAACCACTAACCTCACCATCCGCTTTGGGCCGTGCCAGCAGCATCAGTAGGGCACAAAAAACAGATCCATCAATCCATCAATGTAAAGAAAATAGCAAACCACTAGTTCCACCTGGCTATGCTTTGCCTTGCCAACCCCCTACTCGTTACCATACTTTCCACCCTTTTTCAACGGTCGCGCCCAACAATCCGGTTCTCCGAACGCCAGGGAGCGAGGGCGGCCTGAACTAGTGTCGCTCTATTGTTTCTCCCACCGTATATCCCCTTGCAATACCCTTGCGCCCTTCCACCACCAGCGTGCTATCCTTGGCATCCTCCTCCTCGTACTGGATATCGAAATCACTGCCCAGCCCCTTCCACGTCCGTTGCGACCGAAGGAACTCCGCTCCAGGGGAGATGGTTCCGCCGATCATCGCCAGATCCCCTTTGGCCCGTCTGGCCAGAGCTCGCGCTGCGGATGGACCTCCAGCTGATGCTGACGAGGCAGCACCTTCTTCTCCTGAGGCAGAAACGCGGGGTGCAGGGTTTCGCATGGGCCGGGAATGCGAGACATACCGGCCAGTGCGCAAGTCGAATTCTGGCGGAGCCGACTCGGGCTCCGACATCTCATCCTCATCCTCCCCGTTCGCAGCATCATTTGTCGACGCATCTCCATTCTCTGCCTCAGCAGCAGACTGATCCAGGACCGTCTGGAAGTCACTCTGCCAGGCTCCCGTCCAGACCCGCTCCGTATCCCCCTTCAGGGTAAGCTCCAACTCAAACGGCGTGATAACCGGCTTCCAGAAATCGCGACTATCAACGAGCGAGCTTTCCCAGCACCCAATGACCACCCAGCCGCCGATCTCACTGAAGTTAGCCACCTTGGCTGCATTCAGCTTGCCCACCACAAACAAATAACTCTTCTTCCCGGCCGCTGCAATCCTCTCCCGAACATGATCCACAATATGCAGGTAATTCTTCACACTCAACGTGTTGACCAGGATACCAAAGATCGGAGCGGTATTCAAGGACGTCAGGATAGCATAGCGACGACGCAAGGCAGCAGCCGTAGACGCAGGCAGGGGCTTAACATCCTGCCCGGGCTTATCCGTAGGATAGATGTAGATAGCCGCCACGCGAGAAGCAAGGGTAAGCAGCAGCGCAGTAGGCGGATCCGAAATATGGAAAAGCTGCCACTCAGCCAGAGACTCAGGGCTCTCTCGCACCGTCTCCGGCACCGTCCGGTTCGGAATAGCCGACGAAGGATCATGAAGCACCTCCGTCGCAAACAAATTCGTATACCCCTCCTTCACCAGAGCCTCATACACCGCGGGGACATGATCACAATAAGTCACATCAGCGGCCAAAACAACCTTCGTATCCAGCTCGGGATACGTCTCCTTGAACGCACGCACCACCTTCTCCAACGCCAACTCCTTATGCGTAAACACATAAATCACAGGAAGTCTCGCCGTCGGCGACAAACACGACCGGCCGTAATGCACGACCACATCGGCATCAACATGCTCTGCCGCCACTTCATCCACGCAGCAAGTTCCGTAGGACGTATCGGCCAGGATATACAGCCTGGGCGCAGGCTCCGCCTCATCCACCTTCAACTGAGCAACCGACTCAGCCAGATCCTTCCCTTCTTCCGTCCCCGCACTCTCCCCACGAGCACCCTCTCGCGTCGTAGTAGTAGTAGTATCCAACCCCCGACTCAAAAGCTGAAACACCCTCGGCGCATCCGGGAGCATATCATCCGGAAACTGCAGCGCGATGCGCTTATACCGCGCCTGGCGGATCTCCTTGAGCGTGCGTTCAATGTCATATGTGATGGCGATTTCTTCGTCGGAGACGGGACCGCTGCGGTTCGGGACGGCGGCTGCTGCTTCTTCGAGAATGCGGTCGTCCGGGGTGGAGAGGACCGGGGCGGCCTCCATATCGGCGCCCATGGTGGGGTAAGAATGTAGTTTTAAACGTGTGCGTTTGGTTTGTTGGTGTAGTAATGTTTGGGACTTGTGAATTGAGGGGTGAAAAAAGTGGGATGGGTTGCAAAATTTCGGAGTTGATTTTCTTTTCTGGCGGGCAGGGTAGGCTTTCCACCCCACTTTCACCCCGCCATCCGTCCGCTCGCGAACGGTGAGGGCCAATCGCGGTGGGATGGATTACGGAGGTGGTACTAGTATTGTAGGTTATGGTGCCATATTTTACTTGCTATGTAGAAAGTGTAGAGATTTTGGTTCAGTGAAAAGTGTGTGTTACATAAATGTACTATTCACTATTCACATAGAGTTGAACTCTACACACCCACTACTTATTTACAAACAACCCTCTCTAAGAATCTAATCTACAAATCCGCCCTCGCTGGCTCTCCAGCCCACACTCTCCGAATCAACTCCCGGATCGGCTCACGTTCAATCTCCCTAGGGTTCCAGTACGGGTTGCTAACCGCAATATCCGCCGCCTTATCAATATCCTCCTCCTTCATACCAAAGTCCTTCAACCCACGCTTAACCTGCAACTTCTCCAACAGCACATTCAGTCCGTGGATCGCATCCCCGTTACTCTCCGGCAGCGCCTCAGCCAACTTCTTCATCGCCTCGGGGATCTTCGGCGCGTTGTAGGAGATAGCGTGCGGGAGCACCGCCGTGTGCGTCTCCGCATGGGGCAGGTTGAAGCTTCCGCCGAGCGTGTGGCAGAGCTTGTGGTGGATGGACATGCCTACGCTGCCGAGACAGGTACCGCAGAGCCAGGCGCCGTATTGGGCGGAGGAGCGGGCGGAGGGGGAGCTGGGGTTCTGGACGATTTCGGGGAGGGAGGAGGCGAGGGCCCGGGTGCCTTCTAGGGCCATGAGGTTGATCACGGGGTTGGTGTTGCGGGCGTAGAGGGCTTCCACTGTTGGGTGGTCGATTGTGTTAGTTTGACAGTTCTATGGGAGGGTTGCTGGGGAGGACTAACCCGCATGCGCGATGGCATTGACACCGCTCGTCGCACTCATGGCCACCGGCAAAGTCATGGTCAGGTCGACATCGTAGATCACGGTCCCCGGGAGGATCTTCGGGTCGGAGCGAGTCTTCTTCAATCCGTCTGCTGTTTCACCCAGGATCGGAGTCATCTCACTGCCTGCGTAGGTGGTCGGGATACAGATGTGTGGCAGCCCTGTGCGAATGCTGATGGCCTTGCCCAGGCCGATGGTGCTACCACCGCCGATGGAGACGACGCAGTCGGCGCTCTGGGCTTTGGCGTAATCCAATGCCTTATCGGTGATGTGGGTGGGAGTGTGCATGGCGGCTTCGGTGAAGATGCCGGCCACTTGGCCGTTCAGGATGGTCTTGACATTCTCGGCTTGGGAGACTTGCTGCGGGGTCGAGAGGAGGAGAGGTGCTTTGAGGTTCTGGCGGGCGAGCTCGTCGGGGAGCTTCTTCAATGTGCCGCTGCCGAAGATGACTCGGCCGGGATTGGCGTTGTATTCGAAGGAGTCCATGGTGGTTGTGGTGGTGATGGTGATGGTGACGGTGATAGTGATGGTTGGAGTAGTGGATGAGGGGAAGAGATGAGGTTAGCGGGGGAGGGAAACTCAACTGAGAATCATGATCGGTATATATCTTTGCCTAGATCGACCCATGAATTGGGATTCTAGGAACCCGAACAGCCGACGAAGCTTGATCATCATGAATAATCCCCCACACCCCACCGATCCGGAGCAAACGTCATGAAGTTATTGGGGCAAAGGCCTTTGCCGTGGGTCGCCCGTGGAGGGGCTCGGCAGTTGGTTGTTGTTCATGCCGATACTATACTATGAACTTGGTATGCGATTAAATTCAGTGATTAATATATTCGGTGATTATATGGTTTAAGAAATAGATTTCGATTGTTGAGTAATATGATAATTATGGCACAGTGTGTAGTTGTCCTACACGGCAATTCCTTCTACTCCAGCTTCAACACCGTATCCTTAGGGCTGACCTGCGCCCACTCCAACGTCTTCTTCCAGATCTTCCCCTGCTTTTCACCATCCTGACTCTCAGGCGAACTCTCATCCTTTTTCAAAAGAGTAAAGTAACCCGCCTCCCCCGCATATTTCTCACTCACAGCCAACTCAACCACATCCTCCCCGGCCTCCGTAGCCGTGCGCATAGTCGGGTCAAGCAATCTCAACAGCGGCCGGAGTGGCTGGATTATGAGACGGGAGATGATCCTAAGAATCAGCGGCGTGTTGGTGCGCAGCGCGCGAGAATCACTCAGGTTGCCTGGATTGATAGCTACAGCTTTGATGTGCTTGAGATTGTCGTCCTGGTGTAAGTCCTAATGTCAGTATACTCGATTTTGAATACCCAAAAGACTGCAAGGAAGCTAGATAATACCTGAATTAACTTCCCATTCAGCGCATACATCCACATAATAATCGCCAGCTTCGACACCGCATATTGATAGAACCCCTTCCCCCTGACATCCTCGCCCGCCTTCTTGGTCGGTTTCACCAACACCTCCAGATCCTCTGGAATGGTAGGCGGATATTTCTCCAATCCATTCTTACCGGGCCAGTGGGCATCACTACCGAAGAGAATAACCCGTCCAGAGTTTGGTCCGAATGAGCCTAGCAGGCGCAGTACTAGCGAGGCGTGAGCGATATGGTTCACCTGAAACGTCTTATCCAGCTCATCGGCAGTTGTTTCGACCTCGCTAGCTAGGTTCCAGTAGTATGCGTTGCAAATTATGCTAGCTAGTGGGGGGAGTGTGCCATTGTTGATTTCAGTAGCTAAAGCCTGCGCGAATGTGGTCACCTCGGTGAGGTTGGAGAGGTCTAGTTTTCGGATTGAGGTACTTGGATTAAAGAAGGGTGCGATGGTGTCGTTGAGACGCTTAGTGTTGGGGTCCGAAGTAGAGGGGTTGCGGACGGTGAGGATGAGAGTGTAGTCTGGGTATTTGGTGAGGAAGTGATGAACAGCTGGGATGGCGAGGGAGCTGTTGGCTCCGGTGAGAAGGATGGTTCCTGGCATTGTGGTGGAGGATGTATGACAATAGAAGAGTATAGAGAGTACGCTGACTTAAGTGAGATTGGCTATGTGATAGTTGGCGCTTATCATTCTTTATGTTGCTTTCCCCTGCTGCCAAGACAGTCTAATACAGCTGTTGATCCTTGAACAGTTGAAGCTGCTAGCCTTAAACTAGTAGCCGACAAGGCTGTGTACAACCGCAGTTCTTTGTGCCTGGATTTCATGCGATTAGAGCATAATTGCGAGATACATTAGCTCTGCTCGGCTACGATGCGACACCCTGGTTCTAGATAAGCTGGGTCACAATTATGGCTGATCATCTAAGGATATTAGCATGATTGAGTACGTATTTGCAAAGCACACTCCCAGTTTTGTTTCCCCGACACCAATGCTATGCATAACCTCCCGCTTAGGGTATCAATAAACCACATTCGATTCCAATTAATCCAAGTCAGCGAAAGCCATAATTTGCTGTCCACCCTTGCCCTTGGCTTTCGTCTTCTTGCGCTTGTTCTGTGCCTTGTCCTGGCGGCCGCCGGCGTCGCTATCATCCGAGTCGTCGTCGCTATCATCACCTTCATCGCTATCGTCACTGTCGCCATACATGCGCTTCTCTCCCGGCATTGCCCCGTATCTATCAGCACCAACAACAGCCTCATGCCAAACCTTCACCACCTGTCCACCACCAGTGACCATGCGCCCCTCAACGTCAAAGCCCAGGCCAACCACGCCCTCAGTCTCATCATGCATAACCTCCGAGGCGACCTTATTAGGGCCGATCCGCACGAACTTGACTTTACCACTGCCGAGGCCGACGGCGACCACCTTGCCCTTACCCAATTCGTCCGGCAGAACAGCCATGGTCTCGAGGGACTCTCCACCACCATCTCCACGCTCCACATAAATCCGCTCGTCCTGGTCATCCCACGCGCCCTTCTCCCAGAGCGTAAGAACACCGCTAGAACCTCCAACAAGCACCTTCTCGCCGCGACTCGTGCCACTGGCCGCCAGTCCGCCAATATACGTCGAACTGATCAACTCCTCTTCCTGATCTTCACTGCGAACAAGCACACCCCGTCGCAGATCCGTAACTGCCAGGGTCGTACCACCCGTGGTCACCCATTGCTTGCTGAACCCCGAGGTGCTGGTATCGGAGGCCGGAAGAGGCGTAAGCGACGAAACGTAGTCGTCATGAGGGTGATGAGATTGTTCAGGCTTGGCGGAAACCTTAGAGTAGGGTATGCGGAGATCGTAGAGGTGGAGAGCGCTGGAATCGGTCGCAAGAAGGAGAGTCTGGGGGGAAAGCGCATGAACGATAGTAGGAGCATCGATGGATCTAAAACCGAATACAATGAGCCATTGAGTCCTCTCCTCCCTTGTAAGATCATATGCAATGGGATTCAGATCCTACCCATTCTTCATCGTAGGAATAGCAATCTTGTTTTCCACAACACCCGTCTCCGCCTTCGCGGCCTTGATCAGCCCGTCCGTGCCGGCCGAGTAGAGCGTCTCGCCATCAATTCCGAACGTCAAGCACCGACAGCTACCCTTGTGACGTCTCGTCCGCCACATCGTATCAATGTGCCCTCTGCCATTGCGTGACGAGGCATTCGACGTCTCGTCGTCGTCGCTGGCCGCTTCGTCGGTGGGGAGTCGGAATGTTTGGACGTGGCCGGAGGAGAGACCCACGGACACAACGGGCTCCTTGGGGTGCAGGGCCTGGGAGAACAGGTCCGCTGATAGCGGAAGGGTGCAGACGGTGTCGAACATTGCGGGGAATGAGCAATTGCACGAGGGCGAACTTATGCCGCAGTTTTTTGACTGGCGGAGCTTGCAGCTGCAGGCTGGCGGAGCCGATCAGTCTCGGAGTGAGCGGGCCGACGGATCTTCCGGGGTCAGTTGGCTATAGAGTTTAGGCTTAAGGCTACTTTATCAGTCTGCTATCTACGCAGGGCTGATTAGGTCAGGACTAGCAAAGAACAACTGTCTCTTGAATTGAGTGGACTCAAAACAGAAAAAAAAAAAGCGAATGTGAAGTGAAGTACAAAAACTTTCAACACGAAGTGGAAGAACCAACAAACAAAATCTGCATCAACAGTCTGGAGTTAATGAACAAAAGAAGGCAGCCCGATATACAAAAGCAGTGGCCACTTTTCGGACTATTTACAAGCCCCAAGACTCCCATATTCCCTTCCAGGAACCTGTCCTGCTATGTCCGGCTTGGGGGAGTAGTTGAGGCTCTGAGTCCAGCGCTTCAGCTTATGCGGAAGCGCTGAAGGTCGAGTTGATGGGACCGAACTTGATGTTCGAAAAGGTCACCGAAGCATCAGGGTGCGCCCCCTCGACTGTCGCAGGGGCGCCCGATTCCGAGTCGCATGTTCCGCGTGCAACACCTGGGTCGGTAGCGGTAGCGTTCTCGGGATAGTCACTGTCGAGCCACTCCATGCTGGAATAGTAATCATCCCACAAGCTCAGGATCAGAACCATGGAAGACATGGCATCACTGATTCCAGCAAGCCCATTGTGTGCAGCGAACACATCGTCGTCGCCAAAGGCCTTCTTCTGCGCAGTACAGAAGTCCGTTGTGATCGAGTTTCCGGTCACTCCAGAGATGCTGGACTCGGCGTTCGCAATAACGTTTCCGTTCTGCACGTAGTAACGCTTAATCTCGCTGAGGGAGCTGGAGCCATCAGTGATGAACTGGGTCACAACCGTCATCTTGGATCCAGTGTCAACGATCTTGCCAGCACCGTAGAAAGATTCGTTGCCCATGCGATAGGGGTTAAAGTCGCAACCGTCAGGGTCGCAGGTTCCTGTGATTGGATTAGCCGAAACATCCAGCTCGAGCTCCTATATAGGTATCCGTACCTCCGTAGCGATCATCCGAGTACGTTCCACCGCAGTTGTTACCCTCACACATGGTCTGGCTGCTGCTGTCACAGGGATGGGGTGTCAATGCGGTCGAGATCTTATTGGCTTCCCAGATATCCATTTCAGGGCAGCAAGAACCGTGGTTGCCGATACCTGTGTTGTCATTGTTGCTAGAAGGTTCCCAGCCATCGACGTTGGCCTGGTTCAGGTCAGCATTTAAGCTTTGAGGAGGCTTTCAAGGACTACATACTTCTCCGTTGATGAACTTTAGGTCTCGCGGACATTGGGAGTCACAGTATCCTGTTCCGTACTTGGCTCCGGCCTTGTTTGCAGGGTACCTTGAGGTGCCACCATCGGCGTCCATTGCAGTGAAGTACAGCGCGCCATTCAGTCCACATGGGAGGTTAGACACATCGACGTCGAAAGTGAACTCTGCGTCAAGCAAGTCGAACGTCTGGTATTTCTCGTCACTCGTGTCCATGAGATACACACGCGAGCCAACATTGGAACCAGTGACGAATTTCAGTGTCAATGAATCTCCGTCAGTGGTGATACCGTAGGTGGACTCGTAGTCTGCTCCGTCCAGGGCGCAGTTGGTCGCACAGGTTTCATCGTCAGGGCAGAGAGTTGAATCCCACTGTGATGTGCGTCAGCCAGTGCAGCACATAGGTGCCAATCAAACTCACGGTGTTGCCAGTGTAGCAATTGGTGCTATCATCGACAGAATGGGTCCAGCGCCAGTTGGAGTCGATGACAACCGAGCCACTCTGTTCCGTGCAACTGCCTTCAGAAGTGCACTTCTGCCAGGTCAAGGAAGGGTGGACTTCCTCCGTGAGCGTTCCGGCTTGCTGGGCACGAACGGCCGTCAGCACGGCCGAAAAGAGAAGGGCGCGTTGATGCATTGCAATGAGATTGTATAAGACTCGAGTCGTCTCCTTCTTTCAGTGAATCTGTTGTCTGTCCGGTAGATGTGATTTCCAAGCTGTACAGCGGGATAACCTCCCCATTTATAACATCCCAGCCAGCATTCGGTCTCATACCCTCTTGCGATCCGGAAGAATAGGGTCTCCCATTTTTGCCGGTGCAGCGGACCGTCAGTCCGTCGATGTTTCATATTAGGCAAGGCTTTATGTGCCGTGGAATGAAGAACGCACGATAATAGAGTGCTGTGTTGCAGAAAGAGGGCTCTACGTATTGAGGTGTGTCCGAGAGTGGGCCCAGATTCTATCACCAGGATGGAGTATCAGGCTGCTTGGCTACCGCTGTACCTTATTGGCTCATGGAGTTTCAGGAATTCACGGAGGGCCTTCCGAGTTGTTTCTGTTCCCTGCTTGTAATGAAGCACTGGGGTCTCTAATGAAGGCTGTCTATGCCATGTGTGGCCCATCCAAAGCTATGCATGTAGATAGAATTTGCCTCACAGGCCAACTTAGTGAAGCTCTGCGATAGACAGGATTTGGAGCCCTTTACTCAGGTGTAGGAGTTTTGCCCGAGGCGATGCTCTAGGGTAACTCGCAAAGTATCATAACCAATACTAGCAAATGGCAGCGATCGTGCAGTCCACTCTGATGCTATTTTTCTTCTCCGATACTTAGAGTATCTTCAAACCACAACCCCTGTAATCAATTAGCCGCGTCGATTGACAAAGGTCATTCGCAGTCCCATTTGGGAAATACGGAGGCAACGGCGTCCCATGTAACCGCTGAGTTAATGAAGATGTGGCAGCATGTGGCGTTTTTTGGGTAACAGCCAACTCCGATTCATCTCAAATCCTGATGAAGGATTGATTAATTTCCAGGGTCCTCTTTTAGCCTGGTCGATCTCGGAATGCGGGGTGCTACATCCCATCAATGACAGCTCGAGTGGGTGCCAAAATGATTCGGATTCATGCAGGTGGCTAGGCTGAAATTGATCTATCCAAGCCGGAATTAGTAGACTTGGATGGGATTATCAACGTCAAACCAAGAAACGTTTTGGTCTTTGCTCCCGGTAGAGCCCGCCTTACCGGCTTAAACAGGGCGGTTAGCACCTCCGACTGATAAATGTTTCAACAGATTTATTCTATATCGAATTTCCATTATTCCATAACGTAATGTGTTTCCCCAGGCGCCATCATCCTTTCATTTGCCCGGTTTCGTACTTAGTAAACGGGGTAATACTGAGCCGTGTCACCTGCAAATCGAACCACTGTAGTGAGCTCACACACAGACATCCGACAAAGCCGACGGAAGCCACGATATGGCGCTGTACCTTGCAGATCGCTTCCCGATTACGTTCGGGGGCGTGCAAGCCGACAAGATCCAACGGTTGCTATTTAGCCGGCTTGGATATGAGGCGGGCGCGGAGTGATTCTCCGCGACATACATGGCGTAGATGCCAAGAATCTTCCCTTCTGGCAATGTACCGCCTTGCTTGGATTGTTTATGCAGCGACTGTATTGACGTTTAACCTATAACAAGGGTCTTGCTACTCAGACAAGGCCTTTGTCTGCATATGAGTGTAGTGACCTGTAATGTCGGTTGAGGAGTATCTCCGCCAGCCACAAGAAGATTTCATGTTCCCGTTCCGGCAGGTATACAATGCCCTCGGTGTGCATACTATCGGTCTTCGAGTTTAGAATAATCGATAGTATAGTGTAGTGGTTGAGCAGACTGCCATGATGACTATGCTTCAATGAAGCAAAACTATATATACTAGTACCGTTTTGTTGGAAACTACCGACGGTAGAACATTCCCTAGCAGACAGATCTCGCATGTTCCACTGTCTGTTATTGTACCATGTAGTAGACAGATTCAAATAATAGAGAACGAATGTGAAGATATGATTAATCATTAATCTGAACTTGTTAGGGATAAGACACTAATCGTATGCCCTGGTGATGCCTGGTCATGAGCCTCGGCATTTTCTTATCACCCGCTTATCGCTTATCGGATGACTTGCCCAAGTGGAGATGGTGTATCCTCAGGCCAACCGCCCAACCTCACCGGTCGCTTCGCCCTCGTTTTATCTGTTTCGCTTGTCAAGAGAACCTGGCTTGCATCCATTCCCTTCTTTCCTTGTTTCTCGTGTAGACTAAGAATCATACAATAGACGATAGAACATGGCGTGGTACAGCCAGACTATCGAGTCCTTCTCCGATTCGTTGGGGACCAGCCGAAGCCAACTTCCCCTGCTCGCTGTCACAGGGGCCTCGTTCACTTTGGGTCTCTTATTTCGGTCATTGCTTTCTGACCCACAGCTGGAGAGCACCGTGCTTGAGTCCCCGCGCAAGAAAGTCCTGTCCGTGTCCGATTCAGTGAACCGTGAGCTTCCGCTGCCCACGGACGTACTCCCGGGAGCCCGAGATGTTTCTACGCCCTACGGATCTATACGTGTATATGAATGGGGCCCAGAAGATGGACCTAAGGTTCTCCTGGTTCACGGGATAACCACTCCGTGTATTGCACTTGGGGGGCTGGCCCATGCATTGGTTGACCGGGGCTGCCGGGTCATGCTGTTTGACCTGTAGGTGACTCGCTTACGATGAAGAGGAATAATCACTAACAGGCTTGAATAGGTTTGGCAGGGGCTACTCTGACTGCCCGTCTGACATTCCACAGGACAACAGACTGTTCGCCACTCAAATCCTTCTTGCTTTAAGCTCATCGTCACTTTCGTGGACTGGAGCCGGTTCCGGTAGATTCTGTCTCGTGGGCTACTCATTGGGCGGTGGCATAGCTGCTTCCTTTGCAGCATATTTCCCCCAGTTTCTCTCTTCGCTAGTGCTACTTGCACCCGCAGGCTTGATTCGTGACTCCCAAATCAGCTTCCAGTCACGTCTCCTCTACTCCCGGGGTCTTGTTCCGGAACGTGTGCTTGGCTTCTTGGTTGGACGCCGCCTCCGCGCAGGCCCGTTGACTACCCCGAAGCCGAAGGCCCGTAAGCTTACCGCTGAGGATGCGCTCGCCGAGGAGCTGCCAACACAGGGTGCGGCACAAGTCCAGCAGCTATCTCGGACGTACTCTCATGTCAATGTTCCCAGTGCGGTCCAATGGCAAGTGGGTGAGCATGCCGGGTTCGTGCATGCTTTCATGTCCAGCATGCGACATGGTCCGATTCTGCAGCAACGCCAGCGCGAGACTTGGGAACGCCTTGGAAGTTATCTATCGGCACAAAAGGATCTCCCGATCGATGAACAGCGTTTGAATGGTCTACCGAGTGACAAGGTACTCATCATGTGCGGGGACCATGATGCTGTCATCGTCAAGAATGAGCTTGTCCCTGATGCAACGTCGGCACTTCAAGGGCATGCAAGCTTCAAATTCTTTAACGCAGGCCACGAGTTCCCGAGCACCAAATATGAAGAAGTCGCCCAATATGTGATGGAGTTTATGCACTGAGGACGCTGCAAGGAATCATCCTACGATGCTGATCATTCACTTGATTTACTATCTTTATAGACGTTTTGGAGTGGGATTTTTGTTATACTTTCCTGTTTTGGAATGTGGCTTCCCATCTTTCTCATGTTTGCCCACATTGCCATTTCCATTTAGAGCAACTTCCTAGTTTTATCCAGCGATAATTTAGATGCCACATAACTTTTCTTTTACTTAGTTATTGCCACACTTGAGTATTTTGAATCATGAAATATCTGTGCGATAATTGGTATAAAACGAGTGGTTAGAACATAGGAGACTGGGTATCTGCATTGTCAAGGATAGACACGGCGGCGCGTGTTACGTCGCCAGCTGGTATCTATAGGACCTCTATATCAACGTTCCCTTCCTCTTTCCGGTCCAGCTTTGGAGCAAGTGGCTCCTGTTTGGGTATAGCGCCTGCCTGACCAAACTGGTCGTTTTGTCTTCGTCGTCCTCCATTTCCACCTTCAAATTCCGCCTGCCCGTTTCCCCGCAACCCAGGCAGCATATCGTCTGATTCCCAGTCTCTTCAAAGCGACTCGCAAAAAAGGTCGTCTCTCATAGCGCTTTTATTCTTTCGCGTTTGTATTTGTCTTTTTGTTTCTTCTCTTTTCTTTTCTTAATTCTCGCTCATTTTTTCAAGATCTGTTCTGTCGCGTCGAGCTGGCTTGAGAGACGCGACACATGATCAGAGCGTTCACCCATTCGTGCCCGGGCATAGTAAGGTGCTTCCGCCGCGGACGACTGCGAAAAGCGTTCCATGCTGCCGCTGCTGCCATCGGGGATGTGACTCAGGTTTCCTGCACTGAGGCTGCTGCCCATGCCGTTGGCGGACCTGCAAGTGTGTGAGTATCAACAAGATTTGAAGAAGTGAAAGGTGGAAGCTTACTTGGAGGTATGAGCGTTTCCAGACATGATTAATGAAGTTTGGATAATGGTCCCGTGAACTCAGAGGAAAAGCTTGTGTGGAAAGATTTGAGAGAGTTTGGACAGACGATCGTGCGTGAGGGACTTGATTGGGTATGAAAAGAGAAGTCTCTTAAACGCAAATTGAAAACTTGAGTGGACGAGAAGGCTTGTTTGGCTTGGATTCGTTGTTGAGTTCTGACCAAACGGCGAGGAGAGACCTGTCCCTATATACCTTTCAACGGCCCCGGCTATATTCCAAGCCTCGCTGTTGCTGACGACTGAAACCGAGAATGTGATACAAGAATAAGTAGATGCCTTGGAAGTGTCCAAAAAAAGCTGGACTGCCACAGACGAGGAGGGAAACGATGAGATTGGAAAATCCGAAAAAGGGTCCGGAGTGTGAAGGGAAATGGTAGGAAAGAAGCCAGTAAGTGACACAGGCAGATAAAGATCTTCGGTGGGATAGTGCCTCGGAGTAGTGTATCTCTGACTAACTAGGCTACTTTCAAGGAACGGTTGGGCTGTCTAGTCAAGATCAGCCACTGATCGAGATGAGACTCTGCCCTGCAAGTTCGGATAGCTGCACATCCTCGATCTAGGGTTTGCCGAGAATCAGCCCATTGACCCGATAGACGAATTTAGTCACATTCACCCCAATCCCTAGAAAATTGGAGGCGATGATTGCCAGAGTAAGCACTAGGGTGAAATGTGTGACCCAAGGCCCGGTTCATGAACCATTGGATACAGTAAGGACATTCTGGGGAACCCATGAACGATCATCAGCATGGCCTACATCGGGCACATGAGCCGAGAAACACCATAACCGGTCATTCGGTATGCGTCTTGGGTCTAAAGTCCACTACCAAACCAAACTGGTCATAGCGGATGTTCAACGGCAGTCGTCATCGGATAGGGGCTTTGAGGGCTGAAACGCCCAAATCAGCTTGCTCTGCCCACGATTGAAAGCTTGCCAGAAATCTAGACCACTGCCCCCGATCCCCCTTTGGCCGCCAGCCTACTCCCTTTTCGCACTCGCGCTATGTCATGGTCAAGACCCATCCTTTCTCGGAAAAGAGATTGGGGGGAGTGAGCAGCCAAACGAAGAAAGGATCGAAGGCAGACCGTTTGAAGGATCGCCTGAGACCTCACCGATGTGGACAAAACGTGGTCGATCCCATCCAAGCGATCACGCACTGCCCCAGGGGATAGACGGGCTTTGGGCTTCGTTTTCTCTAACCCACGCTTCTGCATCTCGATAATTTCTTTTGCTTTTCAGGTTCCTTGGTTCTTACTGTATTCAGCTAGGATTGGCGACACTATCCACTAACGGTTCTGCGGTCTCCGAAGAATCAACGGCATTATTGCATTCAGTGGCAGTCACTACGAAAGCTGCAGGTGACAGTGTCATCCTTCGACAGCATACAAATCTCCAAGTTGGGCAGCAAAGGCCATGATGAGCTGGTTATGGAAAGCCTCACCCCATTCCTTCATTATCACGATACGAGAGCAGGCTACGCTCGATCAAAGGACGTAACATCAGTTTGCTGTTTCTTTCCGCCCTGTCGACAAAAGTCCAAAATTAGCAGGGCTTCAACAGGGATTATTGAACAACCCCCGATCTTTATCCGGAGGCGTTCACATACCTGCTTGTCACAGCCCGCCGGCAATGCTTACCTCGGTCAGCTTGATTGAGGGGTTGTCCCTTTAATCAAACGATCAACTATGTACTTGCTGAAAAGGAGCATGCTAAGCCAAGCCTCGTTCTCCTTAAAAGATTGCTGCTGGCCAGTGCTCTGTCAGATTTGCTTTTTCCTGGCCTTTAGACCAGTCAAAAAAGGGGATATCCACGCCCGCGCGATAAGAAATGAGGATGCGCCCCCCAAAAGCAATTGTCGCTTTCTAAATTTGGCCTGGTCAATCACGGATCGTGATGGCACTACCGTAAATAATGGCAAACTACGGAGTAGCGGCGAAAGTACCCTGCGTCAATCCACGGACCTAATCATTCCTATTTGGCAACTAACGTTAGATTCGCCGAATTGGTGTAAGTCCGGCTGCCTCCTTCGCATGGCTTACCAGAACGCCGGGTCCGTTGCACAAGCTAAAGTGACTATGAACGGCTTACGGAGCACTGGAGGAGTGAACGGCGGTTGGCCATCTCAGGGATCCTCGGAGAAAGCATTCCGAAAAGGGGCTTCTCCAGAGGTCTCACTCACAAAGCGTTGCGCTATTGTCTCCTACTATCTACAGACAACGCCGACTGATGCCGTTCTGATTTATTTTTCACTCCCCCCGAATATGCCAGCGCCCTTGCGGGCTCGGGCTTCTCCGCTGGCAGATTTTGACCCAGAAACGGTCAGTCTCCACGCCATTCCGCGGGGGAAGGTATCCATCAGGAAACACCTCCAGTGCTATTGATTCACACGGCCTGAAAACGGACCTGCATTCCGGTAATGCGAGTCCAACCGGGCTCGGCCGCGAGACTGGGTTGAGGATACGAATTTATTGAAGACCCGAGTAAATAATACTGTCAATAATTTTTACTTTTCTTTTCCCCTGGTCGCGGACACGGGTTGGTTGGTTTCACTGCGCGCCTGCAAGGCACGCTTGGTCCAAGCTCCTAGCTCCAGCAACCTTATCTTTCACATCGCTGCTTCTATTCGGTAAGAAAGCCGGTGCGCAAACCCGCATGGACCACCCTTGGCTGGCTGTCCGGCATGGACAGCAGGCACTCACTAGAGCTAACCGAGTCCAAAGATGATTTCATTTGCTTCAGTCAAAGATCCATGGCTTCGTCCAACACCGGACCTTTTTGAAAAGTAAGTGACAAGGTTAAAAAACCACGATCAAAAAGCGCAGAAATAAGAGATTAATCAAACTGGACCAGCCAAGCATGCCTTTCCGCGTGGACCGCTGGTCAGAGCTGCCATGTCTCGAACCGAGCCGAACTATGGCAGCGGCCGAGCCTTAAAATTACGGGACCAGAAGAAGAGAGATTCGTAGAAATCCAAGCTAACTGCGCCCTTGACCTAGTGTCTTGCGCAGGCTGTGAGATCTGGTGTTCGCGGCCAAAGCGGCAAAGATCTTCGCCGCAACTGCACGTCGCTGATCCTCCCTTCAGCTGAAGCCTAAGGCATAGTGTGATGAAACTATGAAACAAGTTGACGGAAATTCCGGGGAATTGAGTGTTCCCTCCCCTATGTTACCCCTGTTCTTCGGCGTAACTCTTTTCCCTGTACAGCCCCTTCCGGCCGCCACAAAATTAGCATGACAAGCAGTCGCCATTCACGCGCAGGACAGCTGAAACACCCGCCAAAAGTTAGTTACGTCAACTAGCAGGATTACAGGAACGAGGTGACGCGAGCAGCTGATGAGGCCTTCATCGGAAATGTGAATGGCGGTGGTCCGGCGTTCTCCGTCAATCGGTTGGCATTCGTCAACAAGCCAAGGACCGTTGCTTTTTCTCTCTCCCTTTTTCTCGAGGTATGCTCGGGCATGGACGACCTCGGCAGGGATCCGCGTCAAATCCTCCTCACCGAGCGATACGTCCAAAGTAGGACCCTTTACGCAGGAGCTCTTCGGAAGCGACGGGTCCCCTGACTAGTTCTCAGGTACCATAGAACTAGTAGTCTCTGAGCGTTACACGGAAGCGACATACACCCTTTCGGCTTTCGGGATTTGCTACAAATTCGTATTGCTCCCGTCAAATCCCTGGATTATGTCGCTAAGCAAGGTATGCTCGGCCGGAGTGCTACACGAGGCTGGGCCTTTGGATGTCGGCTCAAGCCGCGACACGGAATGAGTCATTTGCGTTTATACATGCGCGTGAGTGCATTGCCATGATATGGCGTTGGCATGTCTCTATCATGCATGCATGGCTCAAGGATATGTGACAAATCTTGGTACGAACAGGTTCATATCAGTTTACTATATTCGCCAAGGCCCAAAACAGCCGAGACTGAGGAAAGACGTTTGATGCCAAAAACTTGAAACACTGCTGTTGCCCAATATTTGGTAAGGCAACAAAGCCTGCTACGGAGGACTAGTGTTTGTCATGGACTGCGACTTGATGTGCCATCAAAATCAAAGTACGAGGTCGATTATGTGGTCCTTCATTAGTGGGATCGTGGAGACCGCTAAACGACGTGGGAACTCACCTGCTATGGCTGCTTTCAGCAAACTAGACGAGCACATATCGTCGTAAAAGTCCAATTTTGCATAACAGGTGGAACGCTGATGGCCCTTGCTTGTGCACCAAGCGTTACGAGCTGAATCCAAGTCGGCGCGAGCTTGGGTATTGGTTGCCATTATTGCTCCCAATGGGATTATAACTGTAGTCCTATCACGTTATTCATGGTATGCTGCTTTTGGTGAGCGTTACTAAGGGTGAATAGGCCAACTGAGATCTGTATTCCTTGAAGAAGCACAATATGTGTGGTTGAGAAGTGCATATCCCTCCAGGTGATGCACAGTTCATGCGTGGAGATCTGGCGTGTGATCATGCTGCTGAAGTGGAATTGTCTAGGGTTCGGCGCAGCTGATAGCTGAAACATCGCCTGAACGAAGCGAGGAGTGCAGCGGACACCTGCATGAACCAGCAGAATGACCAGATGTGATGAAGTGGAACAGCAGAAAGAGCACAAAGACCAATGGTAGTAACAGAAAACCAGCTGACAAGGAAAACGGCATAGCAACCGGCTAAGAACACGGCACATGGAAGCTTAAGCCTTCGCTTCCGGATGATCCCTGCGTAAGTGGATATACTATCTACCTGTTCGTGATCCTCGTGGGGAACCCAACATGGTGGCTTATACGAGGATCATGTTCATCACGAGAGTATTCTTTTTTGTCGATTGCGCTTCTTTCATAGGATCTTCGTAGACAGCATGATCTAGTAGGTTGGCCAGCAATAGCCTCTAACATTGCATATATTGCAACCACAGCATCTATAGACTGAAAAATGCCGCGATCAGCCTTATGGTTCCCATTATCTGGGTTAACTATCCCGAGGCTACCATATCCACATGGCAATAACGGCAGCATCCCACCGCCAGACCCGAGCAAGGCCAAGGCAACCGAAGGCAACCAGCGAGGGATGGACGTGGCGTCGAGGCGTTGAGATCTACACTTGCATCTCCGAGGCGAGTGGTAGCAGCAACGTCACCTATGTGGCGCGGTTAATGACCGGGTGAAAACAAGAATATGCATGTTGTCACATCTATCCTTGTTCTCCGGAAGAGGGCAGTATCTTTGCAGCGGTTGGTCTGTTATCGGACACTCTCCGGTATCTGCAGTGCTAAACCTCGTCTCGAAACAGGTTTCGAAGCAGTGCGGGATATTCTGACTCGCTCGATGTCAGGTAGCGTGAACAAACACGATGCAATGCACCTTGGCATGGGGGGTGCAGTTCCGCACAGTGAAGCGAAAGTATGTCCAGCTGTGGAGACTTGATCACCTCGTAATGGTGCAGAGGTCATGCGACGCAAGGATGGATCATGCTGTGCGGGATGTACATGCGAGGTGGGTGTTCTTACGGAAGATGGGGTTGGAAGATCATGGCTGCTAGATACCTGTTTGTGTGCTGAGATTATGACCAGCAGTGATTACGTATTGCTACTAAGTATGGATATCTGCGGGCATTCCATGGCGCAGCCGTGACAGATACTTGTTTTACACTACAGGTGATGGATGTGGGATATCTCAAATCTGTGCAGTGAGTTTGCTTGAAGCAGGTTGTAACCACCGGATTAGCTTAGTAGATGAGTGACAGAATATACTCATTTCAATTGAAGACATTGTAAAATTTGACATGGTGTATGCAGTGGCAGATCATGTCTACTACTATCTATAGTTATTTGAGTCAAGTCCACGTAAGCCTGCATCTCTCTGTATTAAGCGAGATGACATGGTCTTCTTGGTAGTAGAAGAGGTACAGAGACAATAATGACCAGAGGTTAATCAAGCTTACTTTCATTGTCAGAGTAGACACTGCTATACTCGTCAACAAATGTACACCAGCTCCTATGCCCCTACCTAACCTTGATATCCTACAGACGGACCAAGAACGACCCCAAACATAAACCTAACATACACAATCTCACGACACCACCACCACGCCAATCTCAACAACAACCATACTACCAACACTCCAACTGCATACATGTATTCATTCCCACAAGGTCATTTACAGAATCACTCCACCCCCAACACCCCCTTAACCCCCAACAACCCCGTCCCCTGCACACACCCCCAATACTCGCCCAAGAAATCCCCATCCCTCAACACCGCCGTCTCAACCCACAACTTCAACCCCCCTCCAAAAAGCACACCCCCAGGCCCATACGCCTCCATAAACGCCTTCCTCAGCTTGACATGTTCCGCACTCTTCCTCCCCAACGTCTCCATATACTGCAAATCCACAAAGTAAAGCAACTGTACATCCCGTCCCAGCGTCAACGGATACCTCCTCCTCTTCCCCGCCTCAGTAGTAGCAGAATCAGAATCAGGAAGAGTACTCTCCACAGAAGGATTATAACACCCCCTAGAGGAAACCACACCCCCAGGTAATCCCGCACTCAGCACCTGGCCCACCCACTCCTGCGACAGGGAATCAAAGTGTTCAGCCCAGTACGTACGTTCCTCTGCAGATGCAGCAGAGTGATCTTGTCCTTCGACCACGAAGCAGATGTTATCGGGGATGTGGGTGATGGTTTGTTTCCCGGGGATGATCTTCCCTTTTTCTTCTATATCAGCTTTGCTTTCAGCAATAGCACTGATATTCTCCTTAGTAATAGAAGATTTAATACTCTTCTCCCCAATCCGATCCGGATAACACCCCCAATAGCCCGATAACTCAGGCTTGAGATCTATCTTCCCCAGGTGCATACATCCCGAGGGAACCGGGTGGTTCGTGGCGCCTTGGATGCGGGAGGGTTGGATGGTTAGGGTTTCGTGGTAGATTCCTGCTGCTGCTGCTGCTTCTGCAGAATCATTGTCCAGGGAGGAGAAGAAAGCAGAGACTTGGGGAGAGGCAAGCCATGTCTTGTAGTTTTCTGTGCTCCAGTAGGTTAGGTGGATGGTACTATTGGTGTGGTGCTGGTGGAGGGTCTCGGTATGGGCGCAGAGAGAGTCGGATTGAGCGGAGGCGAAGAGTGAGGTTAGAGTGGTGGTGAGATTGGGAGGGGTGTGTGAGTTTGTGCCGGTTATGGTGACGGTGATGGGGGTGTTGGGGGGGAGGAAGGCGAGGAACATTTTCAATTCTTTTCCTTAGTATTTCTTCTGAGGTAGTTGTTGGTGGTGAGAAAGTGGTGGTACTAATTGGGAGGTGGTCGTGGTGGCGATAGTCAGTTTATATATTGCGCAGCAATCTGTTTTAGCCCCCTCAGTGAATCAAGACTGGGAGGGGTTAGTAGCTGTCTAGTGCTTAGTGCTTAGTATTGAGGATCTCTTTTATCTCGTTGAACCAACTGTCATCCACAATTATCTCTTAGTCGTCTTCCTCGAGACCCATTATATCACCACTTCCCGTCCAATCCCGTCACTGCAAATGTCATGGATGGGCCTTTCTCCCGTGGTTGACTTGCTCGTTTTGCAACGCCGTCATCCAAACTATTTACGATAGATTAGACGGGCACTGCTTGATTGGTGAGGGTTTGAGGGGGTATTAATAGTTGCTAACAGAGAGATTTGTTGGCAATGTTGTGGAAAATATTGACAGTATAGGAAAGAATCTATGTCCGCTATCTCTCCCCAAATGTATGTACAAGAATGAGACATCCACAATACAACCTCCATCTACAGAGTACTTCTATGTCTATACACCATCTACACCCCTTTTACTACCAATCTACCCCCTACTTGGCCAGGTTCGGGCACTCGCCCTGCGCCCGTTGGAACGCTCCCGCGAACAGATCCTGCATCGCGCAGTAGTGGAACAAGATCCCTCCAAGGACAGCCAAATGCCAGATGTTGTGACTGCCACCAACATAATCGAACAATCCAGGCCGCCAGCGCTCCGGCACCTGCGACGCATACACGCACGCTCCCACGAAGTACACCATGATGCTTTTCACCACGGGTGCGTAGAAATACAAGCACCAGGCGAGTCCACGCGTGTACGTCAGCTGGGCCAACGGCGCGAATCCCGTCAGCGCTAGCGATACGTAAAAGGCCACGCGCGCCCATGCCATATCCGCCCGGTTAAAGGTCGGGTGCCACGGCAAGATCACTCCGCCAATACCCAGCGACATGGTCAGCAGGATATAAGTCCACCGTGAGATCGGCTCGCAGTAGAAAGCCGTGTACTCGGTCGTCACGATCGAGGCTGCCACCAGCATCGAGATACCTGTGTAGTCCACACAGGCAAACCGCTCCATCAGCGTCTGGCTGGCGATGCTGTTCATTGTGTGCCACAGTGTGCTGCAGACAAGGCACTTGCACGCCGCAAAGAAGAAGACGGCCGCCACGAGAATGTCCGTTCGCGAGCTGAGGTGGAAGTTGGGATTCAGCGGGTAGAAGTAAAAGGCCACCGACAGGACGATGAAAAGCCCAATCAGGTGGGACCAGATGTTGAACGTCTCATTCGAAGGGGTGAACACTGAGGTCAAGCATTCCACCTTGGAGTGTGTGAACCGATACCCCTGCAGAATATGCGGGTTCACCCGCCACGGGTGCGGGAGATCCGCATACGTGATCAACCGTTGCTCCTGGGCCAGCAGGATAGCTCGGTCGATGCTCTCCCGCAGCGCGTCTTTCGCCCGTCGTGCCCGTTCCATACCCTCGTCGACCACCTCACGGGCGTGCACCAACTTCGAGTCCATCGCCTTCCAGCCATCATCTAGAGTGCCGTAGAGACCCCGGTCGCGGACCGCATGGGCGCGGGATTCCAGCTCGACCAGAAACGACTCCATCAGTCGGACTCCCGCCTGGGCCTTTTGTTCGAGCGTCTCCTTTGTAGCGAGAGCATCCATGTAGCGGTCCTCCAGCGTCTCGACCAGAATCTTGGCCCGCTTTTTTCCACCACCCATTAGCTCCCCGGAGGCATAGGAGCAGGAATCTCGCACGGCTTCCAAGGTGGCGTATCCACGGCGGAGACTGGCGTCGATCTGATCCATGTGGGACTTGCGGTATTGTTCGAGCCAGTGGAGGCGTCGTTCGAGTTCGGCCAGGAAGAGCTCCACCTACGGAGAGGTCAGTCAGGGACAGTATTGATGATGGAGCCAAGGATGCAGCGTACCCGTAGGAAAACAGCATCCGCATCATAGTCGCAGGACAACTTGCGAGCCGTATGAAAGGAGTGTCTGCGACGGCGATCTCTCAGGAGGCCGGTGTCTTCTCCGGGGGTGGCATAGGCGGAGGCCACCGCGGCCTCCGGATAAGACTCGATGGTGACAGATTGAGATGAGCAGGCCATGGCGTACAGTGACAGTTAAACCACAGCGTAGAAGTCAATTCCACATATCCTGGAGAGGGTGTAAGAGTTAGTGGTTGTTGGGCAGACAGCAAAAGGATGTTGTTTGGGTGGGGAAGATCGGGAGAACCGGGAGAGGCGGAGAAAACGAGTACCAAAATACGTACAAGAAGAGAAAACTAATAAATATGCAAGGAGAGGAGAGGATGGAGAAATTAAGGAGAGACGAAAGAGAGGAGAGGGCAATCCAACAGCAGCCAGTACAGTTAGAAAGGGCGAGGTTGAAAGGAGAAGTCAGAAAGAGGAGGAGAAGGAAAAGGACTAAAGAAAGAGAAAGAGGAGAGAGACAGATTCCAATGAAGTGGGGAGGTTCCAAAAGATTAGTTCCGGCTGCTTCGTCTCCGAATCATCGACCACTCACTGAGCTGGCGCTGAAACGGCCTTTTTCATTTCCGCCCGGTCTTTCAACCTCATTGAGTCTACGCGCCATTCTTCTTCATCCCAACCTTTCAGTGGCTACTGTCATAAACCCTACCTTATCTCTCAGCCCATCAGCGACCGCAGCTGCTCCACGTTGGCGTTGATTTCCTTGCCACCAGCCACCTCCGAACCAACAAACACTTAACTCTCTTCCACTAAATTATCCTTCTATCGTCTCCGCCTTCCCGTCGGGTTTATCCATCCTGTGACAACCCGCCATGGCCATTCGGGATATCGTCGCCAATCCCTCGCTGCTGCCCGTGCTCGGGCTCAGCGCCGAGACTCGCGATCAATGCATGAAACTGTTGGCCGTACTCGATCCCACGGCTGATCTGTCCGATGACCCCCAAGAGCGTGCTCTGGCAGCCTCTCGCGAGCAGAAACAATTGTTTGCTCTTTTGGCTCGTCTGCGGGGGCAGAACCGGGATGCGATCGTGCGGGTGCGCGAGACCAAGCAGTCTACTGCAGAGGCCCGCCAGGAGATTGACCGTCTCCATCTTCAGCTTCAGAACCTGTACTATGAACAGCGACATTTGACAGGCGAGATTGCTGCCTGCGAGTCCTACGAGTAGGTGGTCTTCAACGACATTGTATGGCGGGGAAAGCTGACCAGAATAGTCACAAATATCGCTCCCTCCCCTTGATCCCTCTCGAAGAGTTTCTCGCTCTGCATCCCGAGCACCAACAGTCCGATGAACACGAATTGATGATCGCTCGCATCAACCATGAACACGCGGAACGGGAGAAGCTGGAACAGGCGCGACAGGAGCTGCTGAAGCGCAAGCAAGCATTGATTGCGGAGAACAACAAGCGCAAGGAGGACTTGGCCAGCTTGGATCAGGATCTGGAGCGGTTTATTGACGTAGGTTACACTGTGTTCCTGTCTGCTGGGCTTTACTAACGGGTGTAGGCGGCCAAACCGATCCAGAAGTTATTCGAAAAGGAGTATTAGTGGGATTGTCTTGTTGTTTTAGGCTGGCGCATTGGTTAGATACCCCAAGTGAATTTGCAGGATAGATAATATGGAATTATTGGTATGCTGTTAGACTGTTTCCTATCTCCAGGCATAATCGTAGTGGTAGTTAGCAGAATAAAGAGGATCGGCCAACTGGCGGGGCCACTCCGCCTTGGCTGCCGCATCTCAACTCCATCTCCAATCCATCTCCAACTCTCCATCCACCACTCCCTCTCAAGCATGTGGCCATGACGGCCAAAAACGATCCCCAGACGTCTCCCCAGACTGTCTCCGACCACACAATGACAACCACAACCCCCACGCCGCGTCTGCCGCCGCCTGAGAAGCCCGAGGCCATCCGCACCCGCTTCAAGGTCATTGCGGCCTTCTGGGCTGTGATCATCTTCCTGGGCTTTCCCATCTGGTGGAAAACCACCTCGATCTATCGCGCTTCCCTGCCGGTCCCGGACATGATTGATTGGGCTGATGGAAAGGTAGTCTCACTCCCTACTACTCACAACCTCGCTAACAAGAACACCAACACCAGACCTGTCGTCCTGTCTTCCCCCTCGAGATCCGCGTCGAGACCCCCTCCCTGCCCGACGTCGACGCTCAGAATCTCCTCCGCTCTACGCAGCACACCCTCGACGATCTCAATGAGTTCTCCGCGCACCATCTGCGACTGAAGCTCTCCAACGAAGACCCCGATCAGCCCCCCGCCGCCGACGCCGCGGACACCGCATTGACCGTCCGTCTACTGCCGCAGGACGACCTTGCCAGCCCTCGAGCAGCTCTCCACCATGATACCACTCAGCTCGACGTCTTCTATCCTCCCAGCCAGATCCCGCCCCCGTCGGCGTCCAACTCGCCCCTATCCACCTTCATCGCAGACGAGCTCCAGCTCCTCTTCGCCGAGGAAAAGGCCATTATCGCCCAGGTGCTCTCCGACAACAACATCCCCGGCGCATCCACTTCCCCGGATCTCGCAGAGAGCGTCACTCGCCGTCTCCGCCGCTCCATGAAATACGCCGACACCTACCACCTCGCCTTCAGTCTCTTCACCCCCGGCGCAACCCCTTCCTCCTGGGACATCCAAGCCGCCGTGCACGACTACATCACCCCAGTCCTCGACGCCTTCTCCCCTATCAGCAACTTCACCGTCGACACCCAAGTCCAACTCTACGCAACCTCCTCCCCAACCGCACCACCCCCGGAGTATGACGAAACCCACTCCGCCTGGACCCTCAAAAAGGATGACCTCAGCGCCTTCATCAACGCCGCCGAATGGCCCCTCAGCCCCAGCATCGGTCCCGGCCCAACCATCAACTTCATCCTCTACATCCCCTCTCCCTCACAATCCCCCCTCGTCGTCAAAGACAGCCTCGCAACCAGCTGGATCATCCCCCAATGGGGCGGCGTCTTCCTCCTCAACCCCCCTAACCACCCAACCCACCTCACCAAAGAAACCCTCGGCCCCGCCTTCATGACCTTCTCCCACCAACTCCTCACCCTTCTCGGCGCCCCCTCCACCCCTCCGCCTCTCCCCCTCCGTCTCCAAACTCTCACCCGCATCCGCGCGGCCTCTCTCCTCCTCTCCGCCTCCTCAACCATGGGCTCTCTCGCCCGTCTCACCGAATCCCTCCCCCAGATCCCTATCCCCGCTACAGTGGCTACCTCTGTCTCTACTACGCTCTCTCATCTCTCTTCCGCGTGCGATCATCTCCGCCACGGCCAGTTCCAGGCCGCCCTAGCAAGTGCCCGTGTCGCGGAGGCCGAGGCCGAGCGCAGCTTCTTTGAGAAGAGTATGGTTGGCCAGATGTATTTCCCCGATGAGCATAAGGTGGCGGTGTATTTGCCCCTGTTGGGGCCCGTGGGAGTACCGCTTATTGTGGGGTTGTTGAAGGAGGTGAAGAAGGTAGTGAGTGCTTGGAAGGAGAGGAGGAGGTGAAGGTAATTACCCCGGTTTAGTGGGTGTGTTTGGTTTCGTGTATGTATAGTATTTTAGATTCTTAAATATATTGCATGGTGTTTATTGCGGAAATCCAAATATAGGTAACTAACTAGCTATAAGGTATCTTAAAGACTTATTAAGAACATACTGAATACAACGTACCACCTCATTACTTTATCAAATCACATAAATCACGTAAATGCGACGCACCTCGAGCCATTAGAAACAAAGTATTATATCACTTCTCCATATCATCAAACGTCCCCTCCGTCCTTATATGCGTTGGATACGGTTCCGGTTTTAACACACCCGTTGTAGCAAACACCCCCGGCGGGGTATACACCCTGATGCTTTCCGTACGGGCCAGTGTCTTCTTCGACGGCGTTCGTCCAGGCTGCAACGGCGTCACGGAGATAGGCAACGGGGGAACAGGCACTGGTACACGAGCGTGCATTGCTCCACCGCCGTGCTCTGGGACGAGGGTCTTTGCGGGATTGGCTTTGGGTAGAGGAGGAGCATTGTTAGGGTTGAAGAGACTCCGGACTCGGGTCCCGGTGCGTTGAATGCGTGAGCGAGCGCCTTCGGAGTATCGCTTTGTGTTGCGGTTACGGCGGAGGAGGAAGTCTGTTCGGTAGGAGGTTTCGTCGGAGGGAATTGGGGAGGAGATGCCAATAAGGGTGCCTTTTGAGGAGCGGCGGGTAAATTGGGCTACTTTGGCTGAGGGGGGTTGGTGTTTCTGCTGGTGTTTGCGGTAGAGGAAGAGGGCTAGAAGGGCTAGGACGGCGCCGAAGATGGCCCCGGGGAAGAAGCCTGCTATGATGGCGTTGGTGGGGTAGGATGGGCAGGTGGCTTTGGAGGATAGTGCGGCTGCCGAGGAGGTGCCGTTGGTGGTGCTGCTGTTGTTGTCAGAGATGGCTGTCTTGGAGGAGCCAGTCGTGACGGGGACGATGGTGGGGTTGGAGGCATCGGTTGTAGAGGCGGAGGTTGTGAAGGAGGTGATGGTTCCTGTGGAGGATGTGGTCGCTGTCGTGGACGTTGTGGATGACTGGCTGGCGCTGAGGGTGGATGCACTGGATGTGTTCATGGCACATAGCGAGTCTCCCGTGCAGGTGTAGCCAAAGGGACAGCATTTGTCGCCACATTTGGGGAGGGAGTCATCCAGCCGAGTCGTCTTGACAGAGTTCTTGGGATGTGCTGTTGCGTTCTGGAGCTGCACGTCGCAGGTTATGGTTTCGATGTAGTCACAGCTCTGTCCGCTTGGACAGCAGATAGCAGAGCTGGAATCGTCCAGGCTGATGCATGTTGACGAGCTAGAGCAGCAGAAATCATCTGGCAGCTTGCTGTCTGCACACTTGTTATAGGTGCTTGGACACGAGTCGGAGCTTCGTAGCAGTAAGCCAAAGGCCTGCGTTGGCGATACCGTCGAAGCAATGAGGGCGAGGAGCAGTATCATGGAGGGCCGTCTCATGAGGGAACAAAGATGTAGCCTTGTCATTGTGATCTGACTCTAGCCCAGTACAATAGATAGATGAGAAGAAGAAAAATCAAATATAGGCTTGCGTAGACTTTGGCTAAGCGAGGAATGCTCTCTATGAAAGAAAGTATGAGACAAGGACTTTGCAACAGTGTCAATGAGTGAAAGAATGGATGAAAGAACAATTGCCGACTTACAAAGGCGTTTGCCATCAACCCCCAACGATGACCAGGAAGCGCCCATCTTAATCACCCAGCGCTACGTGCTGCCCGACATTCTGCAGCATCATGATACAAACATCCACAGCTGCAGGCGCCGAGTCTCAGAATAGCACAGCGGATGGGGCGCATGGTTCGAGGGCTAATGAGGGTGGTTGAGATAGGCGCCGGGAGGAGCCACGGGAAGGCGACGATCAACGACAGGCCATGGCATTCTAAACCCGACCAGAGCTCCTGCAGAGCCCGGCGCGTAGAGCAAGTTGAGCGATGAAGAAGCGAGAAGAAGAAGATCATGATGGCTGAAATGCTGCCGAAGTAAATCGCAGCATCCTGATTGGCCGAGCTGGCGCCCGCTTACCTAACCGGAGCTAGACCCGAAAGAGGTGAGTTCTGAAGGCCGAACGGGAAATTCTGCGGTGGTCCTGAAATCAACCGCTTGTTGCTCGCCATCTTGTCGCCTGTCCAATCCCCCATCATCATGTTGAACCGCCTCTTCCGGCCGCAGTCCGCGCTGCGTGCTGCCTCCGCCTTCTCCCAGGTGAGCTGACCCC